GGATTGACCATCACATTATAACTCCCCCACGGCTGAAAGGGCAAGCAATGTTTGGTGTGACGTGCCCTAAAAATGAAGTCCATAGTTGCAGGCTTGAAATGTAATCTTTGTATTTTGATTCAACTTGTTTCTGTACTTTTTGACGATCCCTATTAGGCTAGAAATAGTGTCTATATTATTTTCTCAAGCTACAAGTCTATATTTTGACACCATTAAAATGGATAAGTACTGAAGACATGGGGGAAAAATATAGATTTGTAGCTTGAGAAAATAACTTAAACATTAATTCCAGTCTAGTTTGTTTAGTTTAGAGTCCTTATTTTTAGGCTTCAAAATATAATCTTTGCATTTTTATTCAACTTATTTCTGTACTCTTTGTAACTATCCCTATTCCCCTTTTTTTAAATTAACAATTTTTGATTATCTTGTAATAAGATGAAGAACATATAAATGAATTTTGTCTAACAATATGAAAATCAACTTTTCTGCTATAATCAATATTTTAGCACCCTTAGTCACTGAGATTGAAAGTCTTGAGTGTTGTTTCAAGAACAAGTTTGGTTTTTAAGATGAGTTTTGCCGGTATTTTCTATTAGAGTTTTTGTGAAATTCCTGAGCAATCCATATTATGAAACACGATAGTGGTTCATAATAATAGGTTGGCAAAGAATAATTTATAGGTTGTTGTTTGCCTACTAATTATAACGAGTTTGCTCGTATTTGTAACTTTTGTCTTGTACAATGTTGTATTTTTTATTTTGCCTACGTGTATTGTGGTGTAAGTGTTTCGCAGGGGTGAAAATTACACCAATTCCTTCAGCAATGCGCAATATATAAAAAACTGATGAAATCTCTCCTTCTCTTTCAAGAAACAACATAAGAATAAGCCTATGAACTGCGCAGGAGTTTATTTTTTATTTTTGTAGGTTTGACCAGGTTTTTAAGTACAAAACTACACAATGGGTTTTATGTTCGCCGCGGGTATCGAAACCCGATATTTAGCGTTATAAGCTCTCCGACGTACAGCTGATCCACCAGCGGGATGGGTGGTGGGTAGACTGATAAACAACCTTAATCAGGAATCACAGGAACTAGCAAACGGATTGTATTGCAAGGTTAGAGACGCATGCGCAAGATAAATTTTATTGTAATTGTTTTGACGAAGGAGTTATCACCGAAATGATTAATTGATCTAATTGCAGTTCGCATAATCCATGAAGCTGGGTCTTTCTAAACAGCAGTTTAGACCGTTTACTTTATTTTTAGCCTGCATTGCAGACCTTTGGCAATCGTTAAAACAAACGTTCAAGACAAGGAACTGATTATGCCTGATAAGTTGCCACGAGATCAAAGTGAATCCCTGAAAATGCTATTTTATGTGCATCGTAGAAACTTACCCCTTACCCCCAATATTTTATTTCCTATATTTGACAGGCCTGGCATGGTCTGGTTAGGACGTTCGACTCGCGATGTACGAGTCGCATGTTCGAATCCCGTCACCGAATATTTTCACTCTTTCAGCCATGAGGATTTAGTAATGTGACGGTCAATCCCATATTTCTTTGGTAAAGGAGAAACCCAAGAATTCACGTTGACTATCTGCATTCCCTCTAGCCGCGGAACGGCTAGAACAGACAGCCCTCGAATAACTTTGTGCAAAATTCAACAAACAAACCTCTATTAAGAAAGTAAAGCTCCCTATGATTCCTGATCGAATCGTTTTGTGTTGTGCACCATATTCTCATACTTCGTTCCACGAATTTTTACCACTTTCGTTAGTTTTTACTTATATTGTTTACTTAATGGTTCATCGCTGCTTACTTCTAGTTCATATTCCGTCCACAATCATTCTTTTATGATTATTTATTTATTTGTATTCATTTTTGATATTTTTTACTTATACTTGGATTGGACCGTAATTGTATGTCAACTTATTAACAACTGCGTTATACAAAATGATCAAATACCCCCCCCCCCTCCGAATCTTCAGGGGAACTGGTATTTATGGTGAAATACACTGAAATCAATATTCTGTACTTGTAAGGGTATTATGATAAATAAAGTATTTTAAAGAAGTCAGCGAAACGCTACTGGTGCAAACTAAAGTAACATTATACTTTTTAAGATAGTAATAGGTGTAATTTACGCGAGGAATGTACTCACTTTTTCATCCTTGAATAAACGCCCCCTCACATTGCAGCAGTAACGTTTTTATTTATCATTAAACTACTCCTATAATCACTGGTCAATCTAATACCCATAACATTTTTTATTTGGGGTCAAATACTTTATCTCCTACCCCCACATACAGACATTTTTGAAAATAAAGCTACACAATTAGCTAGAACTAGACATTTTTCCAAATTTTCTACTACTTTTAACGAAATGAATTGAACTAAATATTCATGTATCGTAGCTATATAAAAGTTCCTTAAGAAACTTTTTATTTAGGCTGAAAATTTAACTTTGTTTTTGTTTATTTTCTCCAGCGGCTTCATTCTCACAGCTCCTAAGAGTTTAACTCCCGGAAAGAGCAATATCCTAAACTTGCATCTGTTTGATATAGAGACCAATGGATTTTTGAGAATAGGTGTAAAAGACCAAGATGATGGTAATGTCGTAGCAGAGACTGAAGTGTCATTCAATAAAGGTTAGTTAACACCTTTTACATAACAATATTCAATAATTAGATCTTCTTTTGATGTCTATTTGCTAAAATCTTGCTACAGAAACTATAAAATGTTTCTAGGAATTTTAATACGTAAGTCTTATAACGTAACAATTTGTGGTAGCTTCACTTACTTTTTGTTTTTAATTTATTTAGATAATCCAAGCAGTTCTATTCAGTTGACTATTCCATCTGGAATTGAAGTTAAACAGCCAAAGTTGTATGCCAATGGTTCCTACAGTAGTCCAAGCTCCAATGACTTTTTTTTCGAAAAGGACATCAATATGCATAAAGACAAACTTATAGTTTTCGTCCAGACTGATAAACCCCTCTATAAACCAGGCCAAACAGGTATGTTACAGGAATACACTCAATACAACAATGAATCTAATTAATTATTTAAAACTGCTTGCAAGTGATAGTAGCCTGTAGCAAAGGTTAAATAAGAAATAAACTCATTTGTTATCGTTTCGCTGATCAGACTTCGCTTAATTTTCATAGAATATTTTAAAAGAACCCGCTCAATGAAAGGACAGTTACAACGCTGTTAGAAGTGGGATTATTTTGGTGAAAGCAAAATAAACAAAACAGAATTTAGTTCAACTTCAACATGACATCAGAGCCAGAAGCAACATTGAAGATAAGTGGAAGAACGTGATAGGAAATTAGAAGATCTGGTTTGATTTGTTTAGAATTTCCCGCAAAGCTACAACAGGACTATCTGTGGTAGTTTTCTCTAATTTAGCAGTGAAAGACTAAAAATAATTCAGCTAGTTATCACCACCCACTCTTGGGCTACTCTTTTACCAACAAATAGTGGGATTGACTATCACATTGTAACACACCCATGGCTGAAAGGGAAATTAGAAGAAGACCAAGAGTTATGAGACAGAAATATGAGAAAAGAATTACAAGAAAGAGGTGTTCGATTTAAAGAAGAGTTAAGATCAAAAATAAATTTGAAAATAATGATTGAAGATGTCCAGAGAGATTACAACAACAACAAACGAATATGGGCAGAAAGGCTGTAGTGACAAAATTGAAGTGCACAAAAAGTAGAAAAGAGCATCATTTAGTTATCAAAAAACATCAATGGCAGAATAAAGCATCTGGAAAAAAGTTGTTAAATACAATGTTTAAATCAGCCATACCTCTTTTTGTATCTATTGAAGATTTTCAAAATATGGAATAGGAGAACTTAGATGATATACACATTACCATTACTGCTTTACCATCTGTTACAAAGGATATTCCTGGATTAATTACTCCATTTGTGTCACTACCAAATCCAGTTCCACAACTTAATTGGTCCATTCATAAATATTTCCTGATTGAGAAACCAATGGACTACAATGGGTATCATGAAAGATATATTGGGCTCAATTTGAAATAATTTCTAAAGTGAACAGGTGTAATAGTGACCAACAAGTCATCCATTTTTTACCCATTTATGACAACATTAATTTAAGTAACCTTTCAGTTTAAAGCTGAAACAACTATCAAGCAATAGTAGCTTTTTTATTCGATAGGTTTAGTGTCGCACCATAAATAAATATCCAGAGCATAGTTATGTAACATGGTATGAGGAGAGAAAACATATTAGATGAACTTGTAGAAGATTTGGAAATAATTGCCCAGTTTATCTTATCAGGATGCTTCATGTGAAATGATGAATTCATTGGTACATAACTAATTTCTAGACGCTATAACAGATGAGGATATGAGAATTAGGCTAAAGCCAAGTCTGTTAAAATTTTAAGGAAGCCCTGAAGTTGGTGATGGAATTAGAATCGATTAGTCTCCAATAAACAACTAAGTACATCATCTACAGGTTTTGAGATCATCAGTTTGAGTAGTATTGAAACACCAACTCCCTGTGACAGTAATCTAGAAGAAATGAAAAGATTAGCTACAAAACTAGTTACATAGAGTGGGGTGTCAGAAGATGGATTTATGTAAACAGTGGACATAAAGTTCCAGTAAAAGGAGAATTGGAAGATACCCTTATTGTAGGAAGCTTCTCAATACCTCAAAGGGCTGTAGAAAGTGCTAAGGCCTGAACACTTTTTCATGACATGCATAGCTATTATTAATGTATTAAAACTTACTTCTTTTAATTCAATACATTACATTGTGTGTATGCAGTATCTGTAGTTAAAATGGCTCAAGATTCAATCTCATAGCATTAAATTTTCAAATCACAAATTCTGTCAGTAATTCAATACTTTATATGTTTTAATACTGAAAAATCTGAATAAGTGCATGTAGGAAGTAGGAATTGTTATAAGTTGAAAATTAAGTAAGTTGTATCTTAAGTTATATAAGGTATTGATTTTTCTAACCAATGAACATTTTATTTTGTGTAGAATCTCTTTCCTTTGTATGATATTAAGAGCCCTAGCAGCTAATGCTTCAGTACCAAAAAACAATAGAACTTGCTAAGAAATCAAAGGCACTGGTATCATGAATTCATGGCATGGCAGGAATTTCTATCAAGTATAGGTGTGAGGTTAGGGTACCTTCAAATAGCTTCATGGTCTATGACAAAGGAATCCCTGAGCACTACATGACAGTTACTACACCAGAGATTGACTTTCTAGTAATAACAAGGAAGATAGTCTTGTGCACCAAGAAGTGAAATAAATTTACATGTAGTGACTGGGATATAGTAGAACCAAACACTTCAGCATGTCCTGAAGGATTAATGGTTGAAGAACACTTGTGGATAAGAATAAAGAATAAAGGTGTCATCAATTGGGCCATGAATAAAACAAACCATAAAATTTGAGGCCAATCTGGATGGGACATTGTAAGATGTGAAGCTGTACAGATAGTACTTTCACATCAAAGAATATCAGAAGTATTCACCTTAGTGGAAAGATGTAGGAAGTCTAATGTCAAATACTTGAATAAGGACAACTTACCACCTCACTTACAAGAACTGTTGTTGCAAACGCATGCTTCACACTTTGGAGCTATTGGTATTCTACAGGAGTGAGGGTAAAATCATACTATTTGATCAAACAAGAGCTATTGGTGAATTTTGTTGACTAGTTACTTTTCCTTTATTTTATCAGTTCACTAAGGATGGCTATGCACTGATGGCATAAAATTCTACAACATGCATACTCACTTCAGAATAACTTTGAAAAAGTTTCTCCTAGACTGAAAAACTAAAGCTAATATATTAAAAGAAGATAAAAAAGGATAATCTTTGTTTCTAACTGTGCAAGTATGACTAGTAGTGTTTTATATGCCTCTTTCTCTTTTACAACCATTACTATACTATTTCTGTTTTTCAGTGAAAATTACTTAAGTTGTATCTTAAGTTAACTGAATAGTTGATTTTCTAAATAAAAAATTTCCTTCTGTGTAAAATCTCTTTCCTTTGTATGATCTGTGCAAGTTCTGTCAGTAATTCAATACTTTATATGTTTTAATATTGAGAAATTTGAATAAGTGAATGTAGGAAGCAGGAACTGTTATAAGTTGACCAATCAACCATAATCCAATTCTGTCAATTAACTAACGTTCATGATTTGAATAATAAGTTTTGTATATTCTATTTTTCAGTAAAAGTTCGAATACTTCCGACAACACATGATTTAAAGCTTGTTCCCAAAGAGACTGTAAGTTTTTTATTTTTATCTCTACAAATTACAAAGTTTGTTACAAATATTTCAAGGTAGCTTAAGTTAAGATATTAGCAACATCAATAAATTTTACCATTAAGTGAATAAGTAAAGAGGCAAACAAAAAGTTTCCCATTTGACTATTGTGCCTGACATAATGTAAGCAACATGCAGGACACACTATTTGATATTAACAGGAGTGATAGTTTATCGATTTTCCACCTTCTGTAGCTCGGAATGTGTTAATCCAAACTAACACATTTCTAGTGGATATGCTTTACTAAAACCTTACTTCTCATACCAAATTTCAAGGCAATCCATTAAGAAATACACGAGACAAAAAATCTTCAATTTAGATTGACATTTTTCCTTTTTTTTTTTTCTTGCACGAAGGTGCGGAAAATTTATTGGATAGAAAAACATGCTTATCTTTTATGGATTTCTTTCAAATTTGGAACACTGATAGATCTTTACAACCTACAATTAGGTGTTAAATTTGGTCTAAATATAAGTCAAATGTGCAAAGATATTTAACAAAAACTGGTCAAATTTGACAAGTTTTTGCTCACGCCTACGTAAAAAGTCACGTGAGCTATCGGTCTGAAAATTTTACCACAGCTTCATCTAAGAGTAAAAATGGACCATTTTTAGTTTTTTGTCATTCGGATTGAAGACGGTTGATTTAGAGCAGCAAAACTATAGGGTAAAATGACGTGCTGATTGATACATAAGTATTGGTTAGGCCAGGCAAACTAGATTATCAGTTTCCAGTTCAAGTTTTCAAAAGTATCATAGGGGTGAATGTTTTTTTATTCATTGCCAACCACAGCCAACGTTAGAGCAAAAATTTTCTAAATTTACTAAATTATCCTAATTAAACAGCGTTTAGTGTCACGTGATATTAGTTTAAGCAATTAGCGAAAATAATAATACTTGATATGACTGTACCGAGTATATGTGGGTGATGAGAAGAAACTGTTAATCTAGATTCCATGGCATTACTAAAGTATAGGTCTGTTCCGAATAATAGGGTTGGGATCCTAAAGCTAATGCTGGTTACTATCAAGTGTCACTTTTGACTTGTTGTGGTTTGCTAGTGTGTATTGACAAAAGGTCATGATATCTAATGAAAAACACCTACAACCTTTATTCTAATGGATTGAACATGTGACTTAAAGGAATGATATCAAAATTATCAGCCAAACTAGTAACAACACTTATAGCATTGATAAGAATTTTACAGCAAATATTCATTCATTATAGTTAGCTAGGCATGTTACTAGGACAGAGCTTTTGATCATGTAGTGTATTAAGTACCTCCTCACTCTCAAAAATATTTATCACAGTATCATACAAATTTACAAATACTATAGAGCTGATGGAAGGGTAGTATTTAAACACAATGAGGGGAGGGGGAAGGTTTTGAAGTTTTCTAATTGTATTTTGTTTCTCAAATATTTCAGGATGCTATTTAAATTGACAATAGAGAATTGATGAATAAATATATATTTATCTAGCCTCTACATTATTATTGATATATTTCTTTTATTGTATAAACAAATATTGGCAATAGCAAGTGAATGCATTATGGGTGTACCTAAAGGAATTAGCTCAAAATGTTAATATATTTTATGCAAATATTTCAGTTAAATTTGCAAGCAAAAAATAGGGTCTCTTGGTATTTGTAATGGTTGAGTTTGAAATATTATATTTTAAGTATTTTAAATGTAATTAGTTTGGTTTGTTAAACTAAGTGATAATATGCTCTTTTGTTTCTAAACTGTTATGCCATGAAGATTGGAAGTTTTCAAATTGAAAACCCTGATGGAATAGTACTGGGGTATTGGCCAATGTTGTCTTTTGCTGAAGGTAGGTTTTCCTTTAATTTGTTGTATTTTTTTTATTTTAAGATGTAAATAAGCAAATGCTTCTTATTACTGCTATTATTTTCTTCACTTTATAAATTATAATGAAAAATACAGATGATTCAGTTCTTTAGTTAGTCTATAAACGATTGCTGAAATTTGAGGTTTTCTAAACTAGTGCTTGTATTACATTATGAGGCTGGTTGTTTTAAAGGTTCTACATGCTATTTAGGATAAATGATAGTTATAAAAGTTTGTCAGTCTTTGTGTTATGTTGCGTGCTATTATATTTGCATCTGTCTTTCTTGAACTGTCAAATTGCTTCTAGAAAAGCACCAGGAACAGTTCTAGGATGTCATTTGGGAGAGGAGAGGGCAAGTGGATATTTTGTGGCCTTTGTATGCAATGTTATTGTAAACATCGTGTATCTCTTGTTAGTTAGTTAAATAACTTGGCAGACATATGCAGGAATATACATTCTCATTTTCCACTGCTTAGCATTAAATATCTTTGAAACTTTTTTTGAGTAGAATTTGGTGAGCCCTTGATGACTATAGGGAGGTGAAAGCAAATATATACATTTTATTATTCAATCTTACTGTTTAATATTTCGTGGGTTAAACTTCTTTACAGGAATTGTACAGTTTGAATTGGCTTTACCTGATGAACCAACGTATGGAATGTGGCGTATCAAAGGGAACATTGAAGATACCAAAATTTACAAGAATTTTAAAGTTAAAGAATATGGTAAGTTTTTTTTTTTTTTTTCTTGAATTGACAGGTTTATTAAAAAGTTTCTAATAGCTATTAAGTTAAAGTCTTATATATATATAAAGTATCTAAATAAGGATATTAAATTCTTTTAAGATTTTCAAATAGTAACAAAGATTAAGATTTTCCATAGCAATACTTTGTTTTTGTAAAATAATTTTAGTTAATTTTGCATGGTTTTTCTCATTTTTACATGTCTGTGAATAAAAAACAAACAAAAAACAATTGACAAGAAGTCAGTTCAATTTGGAACTAATGAAAACTTTTTCTTTGATTTACATTAGTAGTATGTATTTCTTGAATTATTTTTCACAGTTCTTCTTCTTGTTGATGTAATGAATTTTTAATTTGACCCCAAGAATTGTCACATGCCAACCCCATATCACTTGCTACCAAGTCTTTAATTTTTAACAAATCAAACTACTATACTATAATACTATCCTTAGAAAGCTGTTTATAAGTTGTTGTTTTTTATGCTTAATAATGTCAACATTTTCATTTATTCAACAAAAGTAAAACTGAAAATATTAAAGTATTCACTATCAGTGGGCATCATTTTCAGTAATTGCGTGTTTCAGCTGTTAAACTGTTCGCAGAAATGGCCAAAAAATTGGGTTAAAGTCATTCATTTCCTATGTAAAAACACATCAATCCTAGCAGTGACTAGAGGAGTTAATTGCAAAAATGAAAGCATTTCTTGTGACATGTGTGTTAGAGGGATCCCATAGCCAAAAACTATGATGGATTCATAAAAAACAAAAACAAAAAATTATTTCAAAAGTAGATAAGATCCACGTAAAAGCCATTGCTACTTCTAGATTTAATGTTCCATGTTGTAGTAATTAATTTAGAAGTACTGACCCACTTCTTATAAAAAGACAGGAGATTTATTGTACAATATAACCAACATACATATTTTCAGAACAATGCTATTTATAAAAAAACATTTGAGAGGGTTGTACATTCATGCATGACACTGAACACCATCAGTTTGATACTGGACAATATTTCTGAAATCGTGCCTTTCTAAGTTAACACAAAGTATTAAACTCGCTTAAGTACTTTTTTTACCTATTCTAGACTGGAGATTTTATTCATTCTTCAGTTTATAAGGTGACTTTTTGAACACATTAAGTATATTTGATTGAGGTTTGGTGTGTAGGACAGCCTCTATTGTCAAGCAAGTCTAGGATGTTACTTTTGTAAAGAAATTCTTAGAAGTTATTTTTAAATTGTGATAACCCATGCTCTAGGGTAATCAATACAACCATATATGTATTTTGTTTTATTATCTTCCAATGCTACAGACAGCTCAATGCAGCATAACTTAAATCATAAACATGTAATAAATAACCTTACAAAGTTTTCACCACAGTTGAACTCCTTTTCTATTACAAAAACATAAGTACAAAACTAGTGTGCATAACAGAAACTAACTTATTCTTTTTGATATAATATAAGCAATATTTTATTATGATGGATCACAGCAATAGATTAAAAAAAAAAAGTCTTGACTAATTGTAATTAGTATGTCAGATAAATAACTTCTAGTTATGATGAATCAAGACAAATGATACAATTACAAATATGTTATTGTAACCCAGTAGGTGGTTCGATGTCAATACACTTACTCAAAAAAAGCAAACAAAAGTAAAGGTAACAATCTAGTTTTGGTTATATATACTATTGACCAGAGAGTTTTTAATAATAACATAATATTTTAGGACAACTTGGGACCTATTGGTCCATCTTGGCTGTTGTATCCTAAAAACTAAATTGAAATAATTAAAAATAAAAATTTAAACCCAGCCCTTTTCATTCATATACTTATAAAGCTTTTTCTTAAATTCACTGCCTCTACAACATCTGAAGGCAACCCATTCCAAAGGCTAATCACCCTGCTAGAAAAATGAAACTGTCTTAGCTGAAAATGACTCCTACTTTGCCAAAGTTTATGTTTGTGGCCCCTATCCCTACTATTCTCATTGTTAAATATAAAAAAGATTATACATCAACACTATCAATTCCCTTTACAATCTTAAACACCACAATCAAAACACCCCCTAACTCTTCTTTTTTGAAAAGAAAACAATCGGAGAGATTTCAGCTTCTCTTTGTATGACAACCCCTCCATTCCAGGCACCATTCTAGTAACCCCTCTCTGAACCCTTTCCAACAATTCAATGTCTTTCCTAAGGTAAGGAGACCAAGACTGAACACAATATTCCAAATGTGGCCTAACCAGTGACCTGTACAATGAAAGTATGACCTCTTTAGACTTGTGTTCGATATTTCTATAGATACAACCTAAAATCCTATTTACCTTACCACTAACCACAGCACACTGCTTGGATGGCTTTAGAGACTGATCGACTATTACACCAAGATCCCTTTCCTACATAATGCTGTTAAGGTTATTTCCATCCAGATTATGATAACCCAGCTGCCATTTATTTGCTGAACTCTCTAAGTGATCTAAATCCTTTTGTAAATCAGCAGCATTCTCTTCACAGCTGACAACACCCAAGACCTTAATATCATCTGTAAATTTAAATAATTTATTGTCTATTACATCATCTATGTCATTGATGTAAACCAAAAAGAGCAAAGGTCCTAAGACTGAGCCCTGAGGTACCCCACTTGTGACATTAATCCAGTTTGACTGAACTCCATTTGTTACAACTCTCTGCTTTCTTCCATCCGGCCACTCTTCTATCAATTTTCTAACTTATCCACCACATCTATAGAGATAATTTTTTTTTTTTTTATAAGCCTTTTATGTGGCACCTTGTCAAATGCTTTCAGAAC